TCTGGAGGCACATGGAGCTGTTCAAACATTCTCTTGTAGAGACTGCTAAGCTCCTTCTCTATCTTGATCTAGAATGCAAAAAACAAAAGACATCAATAAACAGATAGATTAGTTAATAAAAAGGTAAGACTGCGTGGGTGTTGTAGTTGCCATGCCTTTGTTTAAAAAAAAGGAAAGAACTGGTAAGTGTATGACATCTACCCACAAGCGCTGTCTATGAGAAAGTGACTATAACTTTAGCTAAAATTAGGATGGAACCCTTGGCATTTTAAGACGGTATTCCATACAAGTGGCACGTTAAATCAGTTACAAGGAGTCTTTTGGGACGTCTGTTGATGTAACAGCAAACAGAACTTGAGCTAGAATAACAGAAAAAAAATGAGGCTGCTTGCTTTTTTCACACCACATGCATGCCTCATTCTGACCATCTCTCAGACTCTCCTGGGAGCACCTTTCATCCCTTACATTCTTGGCTTACTTGCAGCAGAAAAGCAAGACTATGAGTCCTAAAAAACAATACCATCATATTGAAACCACGTGTGATGAGGGAGGAAGAAACTGTTCAGTGCCAGCTGAACATCCCACATCTAGGAGCCCACCCAAACTCAGGCAGCAGCAATGAGGGAGAGGAAGCTGGCTGAAATCCCAAGCCTGGAAGTCTCTCCTGAATGAAGGCAGCAGGGAATGAGATAGTGTCCTGGCCTCCCCTAAAGCAGAGACAGCTTGAACAGAAGCCTGCATATTTGCTGGGAGGAAAACAAATCACAAAAAGGATCATCAGATAATGAAAAAATAAAATATACATAGAACAGAAAATAAGGAAAAAGCATTAAAGGAAAAATGCAGAAAGAAGGGGAAATGAGTTATCACTTCAACAAATTAGAATATTCCAAGTTTACAGAGTTTTCTAGATTTTTTTAGTATTTCAGTGTTGAAAATAGGGGAGGAGAGAAGATGCAGGCAGAGAAGTCATTTTTCAGCTGGACACAGCCAGCCAAGGGTAGCCTGAGAAACTGCTGGGCACCTTGTGGCTTATGGAAGGGGAGTTCCAGAATGACCATGGGAGTCTTCAGGTTGCCTGAGGCCCATGAGTGCCTCAAACTGTCAAGCACATACTATTTCTTCCCTTAGGGAGTGTTTTAGGAAAGAAGTATTTTCTAGACCCTATGAGAGATATGTATACTCCATTAAAAATCCACCCTGAGCTGCTCTTAGTGGAGCTATGTGTGTCTGTGAAACAAAACGAGGCGTAACGAAAGTTCTTGGCAAATCAAGAAGTTTTTTTTTGTTTACATTTCAAATTTATTTAAATCTAGAACAACATGAGCTGAAGGACAGACTTTCTGGATTCATGAAGCTATACTTGTGAAGTACTTTACCTACAGTCTCATTCACTGGACGCAATTCAGCCTATGTATGGGCCACTGAACTCCAAGAGAATCACTTTGGAATTGACAATCAGGTAGAGAGGGTGGGTTAATCCCACAACAGTTGTACACAGTCATAAAATTCCTAAATAGGAAGAGATAAGGTAGCGTGTGACCGTGACATTATCATTTCATGACTTCTCAGAATTGTAGCCTTATGTTTCATAAAGTTCAACAAAACAATATCCCAAAATGCAGTATTCCCTTTTCCACCCAAACATCCCCCAAGCATGAAAAGTGAAAGAAGGTTTATAAGTCACCGAGAATTTTACGCAGCCTGCAAATGAAACAGGCACCAAAGCCAAGGGCTGAACAGCGGTCTCTTTTTTTTTTTTTTTTTTTTAAAGTTTGTTTTACAGGCTTTTCACAAGAGAAGTTATTGTGAAAGAGCTCCTTAGAACTTTCTTTTCCTTACCTACAGCTAAACTTAATGCTAATTTTGTGCACAGTTTCTAAGTGCATTTACCCTCCCCAATTCTATTAGGATACTGAGTTTGATTTTTTTGATCTATCCATACAAAAGTTTCAATTAACCATCAAGCCTTCTCAAAACACTTAAATGGACCTTTTTGATTCATTACTTCTCAATGTTCTGTTAGATATCTCCCTTCACCTCCCGTAACATCAGCTCTGCCTCAAAAATGCGTCAGGACTGAGACAAGGAGGGCTTGAACGCAAATGTTTAGGCAAGATTAACAATGCCCCGGTCTTTAACACCTCAGGATTTCTTTGTGGGCAAAACAAGGCTAAATTTAACTGGCAGAGGATATTTTATTATGCTGGGGATTGGCCTTAACTGCTTGATTTCAGAACATGTTACATATAAACTTGAATTTAGAAAACAATTTGTTCTGTGTCTAGGTTATCCAGGAACTCCTTCCTTTGTAACAGCCTTAACAGTTTAATTTGTACTTCTTTCTGTATATGATCCCTGCAACTTAGAGAGATAAATTCCATTCTCAAATTAACATAAAAGTAGCTCCCAAGACTTCGTAACTGCAAAACAAACACAGAAATTAGAATAGAATTTGGCCCTCATGTCTTAACACAATCTCTTAACTAGCACATAATTTAAATTTCATGATCTTTCTCCAATGCATAAGACTTATGAGAGAAAGCAGGCACTCTTAAAGAATGATCAGGTTGGACACCATAATACAGATCTACATCTACACTTTAGATGGTCTTCCCCAAAACGGACTATTCACTCTTTACAAATTCATTTGACTACCGCAGTCATGCTTGTGGGTCATATTCCAAGTAAGCCATATAGGTAGGTGTAATGCTTTGTTTAGCAATGGTTGAAATATTTTGGGATCCTGCCAAAATTTCAAGTCAGAGCTCAGTAGAGACACTGATTAGAATCTTTTAGCTTCCACTCAGACTAAAAAAGCCAAATCTGTAAAGCTCCAAGGAGCGAAAACCAGAGAAATAATTTTCTCGTCAGAAGGAAAATTCACTGCTACTTTGCATGCTCCATTTAATAAAATAAATATTTAACAACCGAAAATATCAATTATTCATTTTGTAATATGACTAACTTGTAATCATTCTTCTATTCTTTTCTTTCCTTCATTTCTTTCAAAATATAGTTTGTGAGGATGACTAAATAAAATTGATTTTGAGATGGGCAATAGCTGCTGATAGAAAATCTCATTCAAAATTATTTCCTAAGAGTGTCTTTTCTGTATTCTCTAGTTTTCTAGAGAAAAACATCCTTTAAAAACAGCCTTCAAGTTCATAATAAACACAATGTGTAAGGCAGCTAAAGAGACGTGCAACCACCAGGCATCACACTTCAAGTGTATAATAGGGAGACTATGATAAGGAGAGTCATGTATCTTTTGGAACCTTTCCCTGTTTCCATTTAATTTTTCCCTATTTAAATTCACATGATTTACAAGTTCTGGGTATCACTAGATATTTAGAGACTAGTTTTCAGAGAAGCTGGGCACCCACAGTTCCTACTGACCAAGCTTACAGCGGTAGAAATACAAATCTTCTGAAAACCAGACCAAAGAGCCAAGTTCTCCATTGTGTTACAGTTTAGATTAGCATTAAGGGATTTGAATTTCTTCTTCATACTGCTAGAAAGCAGAGATGAAATGCATCTCGCCTAGCTACGACTATCTAAAGTTAAGTCACTAGTGTATAATAGCTGTGTAGGCTTGTTCTCCATTCAGTGGAGAGGGATGGCGCTATCGCATCTTAAGACAGGTGTTGGGTAGGCGGGCTGAATCATGATTTGGAGGTACCTCTGAGTTTTTACTGGCTATAGAATCAGCCAGAACAACTAGGTTAAACTTGGAGATGGACGAAACGAGACAAGGTGACTCCAATTCCACATTCCTTTTTCATAAGGTGAAGCTATTGTCTCAGAAGCAGAGACCACAAATAATCCTTTGCACTCTTATTGAAGTGCTCATAATTGTTAGACTTTATTACATGCTTCCTGTCAGGGGCTTTTAATTTCTGGGAGCTCTCATGTCCTGAGCTTCAGCAGAAGTACAATGCGACTGAGACTACCCAGGAAAACAGTCAATGATTATGTAGAGCATTTCCCAGTTAAGTGTATTTGATAGTCTTCCTACATTTTAACATTTTTGTTTCCTGCACATCTGCATCTATGGTCACGGTTCAGAAGATTTTACTTTGTTCTCTATCCAATAATACAGAAAATGTCAAGATGTGCTCATTTGTTTTTAGAGTCAACAGAACTGGCATATGTTTTAAGAATGCTCTTCTGGTAGTAATTGTAGTCACATCAGAAAGAAGTCTAGGAAATGTTTATATGGAAGACTGTTCCTGCAAGCTCCCTACTTCAGTTCAAAACCTGGAGTATGGAACTGTGGACATTTATCTGAACTAAGTACTGTAAGCTTCACCATTATGAAAGGCATTTTTAAAGAGGAGTGTGTGTACCTAAAAAGGCCAGGGTTAAATGACTACCTATGATACATGTGCCAGCAAAGTATTGCACATCCAAACAAGCACAAGCTTAAAATTTGTCAGTCATGTCACATTTTTGTTCCTGACATGGGTAGGGGACTGTATTTTGGTCATAGTGGGATGCACTGTGTTAGCACTTACATGCTAACACAAATACACACAGAACCCAAGCTTAACCTAGTATTTCCGGTCTCTCTGCCATGAAACTACATAAACTCTTCCTTACCACCAACATAGCGCAAACCAGTCAATAGTAAATTCTGAAATCCACGTAATTTTTAAACAACATCGATTTCAGGAAAGTAATTAAGAAATTATGTACTGAATCAGATTCTGCTAAAAATACTAACGATCTGGTTCCTTACTGACGTAGCTAGCTGAGTCAGTTAAAAAGAACTCCTGTGTCATTCATTGATAGGTTTGTCCAACAAACATGGCTAAATTTCCTTCTTCTTGCATCTTATTAGGTTTGGCTTGTAGAATTTAAGCTGTTATACATACCGGTCTTCTTTTATACACTAGGTATATAAAATGTAAAAGGTTGACAACCAAAAAAACAGAATTCCAGATCATTATGTCCAAGGCACAACGGTAGAGCGTAGCCCAAACGATGAACAACGCACATCCTGTGAAAATTAAAATACAAAGTTAAATTTCAATGATCAATAAATACATTCTTACAAAGCCATCAAGAATTTGTTCACTGAAAAAGGGTACAATTACACTGAAAAGCAATATATTGCTACAAGCTTTACTGCAGTTAGGTTGTGTGTAGCAATACATGTAACATGAGCATGAGCTGCTCGCTCACTACAACACCAGAAACAGGCACTGACAGTCCCTCAACAGGCCAGGCTGCAGCATAGGTTTGCAATGCTGAAGGAACAAGAATTCAGATCAGGACTGCGGAAAGCAGAAAGATACAGATCACAATGTTACTAAAATGAAGAAGTGGGATGGGGGAAAATTGTATTTTCAGTACAATAAAAATTAATCAACCCACAAAACACGATTACTGGTATTATATAATTAGACAAAGGAACAAGAGAAATGAACGCTCATTGTCTGTGTCAGGAGCATTCACATCTAATTAGCAGTTGCAAAACAATCTCCTAAAGTCATACACAGATATTTTTGAAAACGTAAAGGAATCATTGTCATTGCATTGTGATAAAGTCACAGCAGGAACCAGATTTCTCTTGCATGCCATCAAAGAGAATATTTCAAATGCTTTCTCTTTTTTCAGTTACTTCACTTTGAATAATGACAATTGCTCTACAAGATAAGGCATGCTGTACGATTAGGAATACTGCTTTTAGCCTATAAAGGCTGTATTTATGAGATGATAGATTATGCATCAGTTAGTCTCTCCCAAATAACTGAACAAACTGGGCAAATTCATTCGCATCTGACAGAAGTGTAGAGGTCACATATTTTCCTGCAAGTTTGATGCAAACAGGAAGACAGGGGAAAAGGAGAAGGTATGAAACTAGTGTCCTTTTCCCCTTTGTCAAACTCAATATTTATCTATTCTGTCTGGGTTGCTGATTGGCCCAGCAGCACTTATATAGTGACCAGACAATGTGGTGTCTCTTATCAGCTCATTGATTAGACTAAAAGGGATAGAAGGATACAAGGCCTGAAAGTATTCAAGTAGGGTGATACTGTGGAGCAGCACAAGGGTGAGGCAGGGTCACTAGCATAAAGGACACAAACCCATAGGAAACCAAACTTCATTACTTCTGCTCCTCACAGAATATATTTGCTTCCAGCTGTCATCTCAGCTTGAAAAATTCTGATTTTGTATCTGTTTTAGTTCAAAATGCAAAACGACCTAGAGTCCAAAGCAGTAAGCTCTGCATGTACAGAACTCCCATTGTTTTTAAATGAGAACTACACAGACAAAAGGTCTTACAATGCTGAGACTCTTGGCCATTAGTGAAGTCTTACAATGCTGAGACTCTTGGCCATTAGTGAAGTCTGTTTTGATAAATTATCCTATAATAACCGTAAAAAAGAAATGGCAAGATCATTGCAAATTCAACCATAGAAGTTCTATCATATGATTGATACACACTGTTACACAAATAAGCATTCTCACTTAAAAATACTTGAGCATTCTCTGCGTTGTGATATTAGTAAATAAAACCTGGGTTTCTACAACATATCTTCCCTATGCTGTAATGATCCACACTTTTTTCTCATTCAGTCACAAAGACTTTGTTCCACACAAAGTACAGGGGCTTGGAAATAGTTGTGGAACTGCCAGAATGTTACAAATCAAACCATGCTTGCTTAGTCTCAAACACATCAAATTTAGTATTTCCTCTGAAGTCCAATGTTTTTAAAACATAAGATGCCTACAGTGGTGGAGGAAATTTGGCTAACTTCAGAGGGAAGTCTGGGTTCCCTCATATTGAAAACTACTGTTTCTAAACTAGAAATGAAAATAACACTACAGAACGGCAAATGCCATGGGTTTGAACCCACTTTTAAAGAACACGTGGGAATAGTCGTCACATTAAGCTTCTCAAGGAAAACCTTTTGCATTACAGATGAACTAAGCCACTGTATTAGCCAATGCATGATCCCACTATTCACATGACACCTAAAACTAAGGTCTTAACGATCCATACACTTAACTAGCATACCGAGCCCACCAAATTTTAAGTAGCCAGTCAAGTCTGAAATAAATGAGCTTCACTAATTTTTATGTCAACAACTACATAGGTTTCAAGGTGTCCATTTTATTTTCAGGAAATTTTAAAGAGTCTGTATCTATATACAACCTTTTCCAAATAAGGTCTGTCAGGGTCAGAATTACACTTACATCAAAAACACCTTCAGTAAAGTACAATGACTGTGAACATATCCTAGAATTTCATCATTAACTGAAGAGACCGGAAAAATGCTCTATAACATTCACTAATTCCTCTTTCTACCACATGAAGGTGGTAAATCTCTCCAGAAAATTGGCCTACCTATAGTCAGCAGGCCTCGCAGAAAAATCATATGAAGATTCAGAGTAGTTGGAATAACTAGTCCAACTGCAAAACAAATGTTTGCCACATGGAAAACAAGATGATGAATCTCTCTCCAGTTTTCACATGCAGTTTCATTGAAAGGCACAAGAGTGGCATTTTTTAAGTCTGGAACAAAACCTAGTGGAGTAACGGTGAGTGGGCTAATTGCCGTGGAATTCATCTTGAAGACTCCTGTAAAAAGAGAAATAGAAGTGACCGTGCATTAAACTGAAAGATATTAGACACACATACAGATTTTAGTGTTTTCTCTCTTTACAATGTGTACCTTCCATTATCATTAATGGAAATTCTACAAATACTTTAAAAATGCAAGCTAAATCCATAGTTCAGTAATATTTTACCACCTCTTTTTCACCTAAATGTTAGGCTTGAAGAAGGCTACATTTCAAACTTTTGACCATACACACAAATATAACATTGGTTGAACACTTGCTATTGTAACTTCCACTGTTCATTAAGACAGACTATGTATTCCTCCCAGTCCTACACAAATAAGCATTGCATTTTGGTCTACCACTTCCTGAATGAGTCCATGATCTTAAGTAAAGTAAATATTTAAGAAAACTTGCCAACCTACATAACAGCTGTAAAGAAGAAGAAAAAAGGCTTATGTCACGCAAGTCTTCTTTATGACGTACAAAGCTGTCCTAAATAAGGAATGGAAGTTCTTAAAGGCAGAACTCATGCTGCTTGGTTGATTAAAAATCAAAACTAAAGACAGTCTCATCTTCTGACTTTCTTGCAGAATCATTTGGTCTCCTAAGCAACATAGGATCTTGCACTTATTAACCAGAGTAGGCAAAAAAAAACCCAAAACAAAACCCACCCACTCTTTTAGAACAGTAAATAAGTATTACTGTTTCACCTCTGAGTTGATCAGATACTACCAAATTAGAAAGGGAGACACTCACGCGGCCAAATTATGACAAAGTTGCAAGTCTTGCTTGCACTAGGTAGACCAACCGATTTCCCTGAAAGGCTGGCAAGACCTTTGGTTGTCCATGGAATTACTGGAGAAATTGGGTAGTAAAAAGAAATGATTTCTAATCTAAAAGTACATAATCTCCCCACCACCACCCTGTAATAAGAAATATAGCAGGTTTTGTCCACACTTTAGGTAAAAAAAACCTTCCTCTCCAAAACAAAGCAAAAAATTCCCATAAAAAACCAACTAGTAAGAAAAACTGTAAGATTTCAAGACATTGGCTTTTAGGATTTAAAAAGTAATCTTTTTAAGGAGCTAGAGTCAGTGTTAGAAGCAGTCCAGAAAATGTTAGCAGTTCAGAATGTCTTCTGAACAGACAGAGACCAATTTCTAGCTAGCGGAATAATACTGTTTCTAGATAGACTCTTAAAAATAAGAGAGAATTCTGTTTCCAGCAGAGCATGTATGACCCCCTACTGCTGAAACAATAGAGATTATATTGAGTTCTGCTTGATTCTCATTAATGAAATACATGCATGTATCAGTGAGCAAACAGACTTCATAATGTACAACACAGAGGGATTTGCATTCAAAAACATTTTGAAGAGATAGTGCGTGCCCTCGTCTTGTGTGCTTACTGTCATGCAGTTAATCTATGCAGCAGACTTAAGTCATGGTTAATGCATTCAACATTTCTTGCAGTCTAGGATACACTTAGTATCTCTCTCTCACTTGAGAGTGCTTGTTGGGCTGTGAAGTTTCAGTTTTAGTTTCATCCACCCTTTTTAGTTTCATCCACCCTTTTTAGTATTCTCCATCAACTTGCACGCAATTTTTAAGCAAGTTAGACAATTCCCATAACAGTGAGAAGAAATAAATCTTGAAGAAAAGCTCAACCCTTGAACAGTTCCTTTCAGATGCCCAGAGCTAGTCACAGATAAGCCATGCTACAGAATATGCAGAGACACTTTGCAGGATCAAACACTAGCATGGACATAGTGTACAGTCTCTGCATAGAAGCGATCTTCAAAGGTGGGGGGGGAACCCCCCACACATTTTAACCAAAATACACAATACATTTCTTTTGTAACAAGCTTGCATTTATCTTTTCATTCCTCTATTAGTTCTTCCACAAGGGTTTACTAAAGTGTGCTTTCTTTGGCATAAACAAATTCTATATAAATTATGTTACCAATAACTACAGTGCCCAGACAAATTCATGGTTCAGTTATCATACATGCATCATTCAAACATGCTTCTATTTTTCTCCAGTTCTTACACAATAATATAGTAACCAGAGTCACAAGAACAGTTCCACTGACTTAACAAAACCAATCACACAGAGTAAAAGCGTGAGAGTCAGTAAGAATTTGCAGGACTAGAATTTTAATGCACTCGTAAATAAAAAGTCATTGCTAACTCTGGATAACTGCGTTTGTGCTCATCTTACCCACGTATTGTGACTGTGCTTTTGTTGCTCCTGTTTTCAAACATTACAAATTCCCTAGACTGGAACAGCAGGTTCTTGCAAAAAGATTCAGGGATCCTATCAATTGTGTTTCTTGTATATACATTCAATCTTTCACCTGTCTGATGATCTGCTATAGAAGTACCAGTAATTATGCCGTTATTTGGCAATAAAACCAAGACAACCAAATTCATGTACACAACTAGTCATAAGGCTATCAATTCTACTCATGATCAAAACAGTCCAGAACAAGTAATTTCAGTTGCATCTGATTACAAATCCATGAAGCTTTCCAGATGCTTGATTTTTTTAATAAAAGTTTTGTACTATACTGCTGGGAAAATAAAGGCTACCTTTTACACTTGTAAAGCACCATACATTTGAAGACTAGAAAACCAATAAGCCCAGTCAACACGACAATCTTATTCACCTCACAACCCAGCCAAAAAAATTATTCCCTTTGGTAGCTGCAGATATTAAGGCCACAACCTACCATTCAAAACTGTCATAACAGAAAGATGTTTCTCCAACAGGTTTTGGTCTTTGACTATGAAGTGTCCATAGATGTAAAAATAGGATGTTCAATGTTTTCAAAGTCTGGGTCATCTACTTTGTTGTCTAAATTAGAACCTAGGATGTGGGGTGATCATATCCCCATGATCAAATGTGATTATACACATTTTAATCTTTGTCTTTAATACACGAAAGTCTTTATATGATTAGAGCTGAAGCTAATTTACTACTCACAAACAAATATAGCAGCACTGGTGACATAGTAGAAAACAGATAATGCAAGGCTGCAAAACTTCTCTGTCAAGATATTTTAAAAGCTTGCAGAAATAGATTTATCCTATCTGCAAAATGACACAAGGACAGATTATGCCACTGGCTCTTAAGAACTGCCCATGAATTTCAACTAGGAAGCCTGACTGAAATTCAATCACACACACAAACCAAAACAAAAAACCCAGCACGCCTGATTAAAAACTCTGATCTAAAGTGTTTATCCACAGGTAACACCGGAAAGACAAATATGCAAAGTAACGACTGCAATTTTCAGACCAAACTCTTTACTCTTAACTGTTATTGCTGTCCAATAATATTGAAACATTGAAAAAAATCTGCCGTTCAACAGATGAGCACACAACAGTTATTTCCTATCCTCTGGTATCTCACAGTACCAAAAGTTTATTTTGAAAGCACAGAATCAGGCTTTTACAACTTTCATTTAGGGTTATTTCTAGGAAAGATTAATAAAATAGAAGACGTTGAAGTTTGACATGTATATATTAATGCAAGAGGCTAAAGATACATGAAGTATAGTCAAATCACTTTTGGAAAAAGGGGAGGCATAGTGTCAACTGAAACGTAAACTTTATGGCATGCAAGATAAACACTTAAGAACAGTATTCTTAACATCCATTAAAGCAATTGTTGTTTCATATGGATTTAGACCTATCAAATTAAGAATAGGAGAACTCAGCTGACTGAAAACTCCAAACTCAAGCAACTTGTTGTCCAAACAGGAAAAAAAACATATATTGGAAATAAACAGTGACACTGTAATACTAACCTACCAGAAATTAGAATAGTTAACAGCAATGTCTATTAAAATAGTTCTTTGCATGTGAACTTCATAGAAGAGTTAAGGCAATGTATTGTGCTTTTAGGTCTAAAAATACAAGTTTTCATTAAAAAAAAAAACAAAAACCAAAAACACCCCCACACAGTGGCGAGTTTCTTATAGGATTTTTCTATGCTCAGGACATCTTTATACAAGACATCAAGCTTCTGAAAGACATTCCCAAAAGTATTCAGTCCCTGAATCTGCAGATGTGAAGATGCCCTAAAATAAATAAATAAATAAATAAAAATCAGTTTTTAATGCATGCCTACACAACATTCACAAAACATAGCAAGAAAGGAAGAGATGAAAGCTGCTGGTTTCAGAACAAGAACAGGTTAGCCAAGTTGATATAGGACAGGGCAAAGTAGCTAACTCAAGTCACCATCTACTTTCTTTAGAACACTGGTATCCCACAGCCACACCAGTCAGCATTGTCTAAGTGAGCTTTTTAAAGCTTTGCTTGAATGTTTGTACGACTTTAAAGTCATTACAAGCTCACTTATGTGGAGATGGATTTTGTGAGTCTAAAGATAGAAAAAATTTTGAGCTTGATTCTTTTTTAATTATACCTCCAGAACTTTAATTACTTTTCCATGGTCTTGTAGTGCAAAAGTTGCATAGAGAATCTAGACAATCAATAATAATTTCTTTGTTTTTGTGAGCTGAAGACAAGCCATCCGTGACAGTATAATTAAGCTAATTACAGTTTAAGTTTCCCATTCACTCCTACTTCATTATAAAAAGGAAATTGGTAAGTGGTATAAGAAAAGGTGTATTTCAGTACGCTCTTTGGGGCAAGTTTGTTTCTATTAAACATGTCAGTAAATATAAAAATTTGTTACTGTTAATCTACGCATTATTCTAGACAAAAATTAACAGTATTTTCATTCTGCATAGTTAACAAAAATATCCTTATTGCTACAAATATTCTTACTACATACACAAGATAATAAGCTGTACTATAGATGTACTAGCTGTACTATAGATGCCAGAAATGTAACTGCAATTGAGCTCATTTTGTGTTTTGATTACACTACACAGATGCACTGAAAAATCCTGTCAAGGGGTGCAGTCACAACTGTTGCTCCTGATTTTTAACTGTTGCCCTTGTTTTTCTTCCAGGGCAAGTGGAGCTTGATTTTAACCCACAACATGCAAACGTCAAAACCACCATTTCTTAAAAATCAGCCAACCCTCCCAAAAAAGAGGCATTGCCATGGCAGTGACTTTTCTGCACGCAAATCACAACCACATCAGCAAAACTTCGTTTCGAAAATACCCAACAGCGCTATTATTATGGCTCACAATAGTGCTTGACAACTGTGTCTACATGTGCACAACAAAACCTTATAAGCTTCAGAGTACCCAAAAAGGGAACGCAGAGAGTGACAGGATCACACCAAAAAAACAGACTATTCTTTTTTTTTTCCCCTCTAACTATAAACACTATAGAGGGTTTTTTATGGGGGGGGGGGGAAGAATTCAGAAAGAAAAAAATTGAAAGACCTTAAACAGAGAACAACCTCCAGCCTGCCCTCCCCAGCTTGGGACTACTAACAAGACACGAATATTTGCCGATTTAAGACTTAACTCTGGGATCCATGCAACGTGTTCTGCCAAGGCCAGCACTGAGCGCTTCAGCTCCGATGCCACCTACCGCCGAGAGCTTTATCACAAAAAGTGTCTTCCGTAAAACGACGCCAG